GGAACAGAAATCCTCTCCAGTTGCTCCTGGTCAAGAGCAATAAGACGAATACTACTTTTTCTCCCGTTAATAACCATGGAAACTTTTGAATGTTTTTTGCAAAATTTTGGAAAACGCTTATCCGTATTTTTTTTTGTTTTGTCTGGTTCTTCTCCCACTGTCCAGCTTCCAGTTGTGGCTTTTAATGTGAACAACTTGCCTTTCACTGAACCTATGCTATCCATTTGGGCTCAACTAGTAAATCTGGCTGGAAGTAAAATAGAAAAACAAAGAATGAAGTCTCCCAACCAGGGTCTTTCAGGTACAGCTGGGCTTTTTTTGTTGTGGGGTTTTTTTTATATTGTTTTTAAATAGCTGGGTATACTGTGGGAAGAATACTGGTAACAGCAAACGTACATAAGAAAAAAGGTTTTCTGGAACCTTACCTCTTTTCTTAGTCAACATTGAATAGTATGCATTTATGAGACAAGTTTAGCTAGGATGAAGTGCTCTGCACTGTAAGTGGAATACCGTTTTTACTTTGGCAAGAAAATACAAATAAGGTTTGGGTGTGGACTTTTGTATTGAGTTGGATGTATATAATGTCTTAACTGCACTTACTGTGCTATGTATCAGCTGTATGATTGTCTGGGGTATGAAAAGTAGGAAGGTGGTGTTTTTAATATCATGGGTCATAGAATGTGTGCAGACTTTTGATCCAGATGCTCTACAAACTACCTCATACCATCAGTATTTCACAAGCTTTTATGCAGTGAGTTAAGATGTAAAATGATTTTTGGACTGTATGAATGCCTGCCTTCTCTAATACAAGAGTTTCCTAGCGCTAATGGCTGCTTAATATTTCTGATAGGTCAAGTGGATTTGGACCTACTGCGATGCCAGCAATTAAAGCTGTACATACTGAAAGCAGGCCGAGCTCTGCTTTCTCACCAGGATACGCTGAGGCAGATCTTATCTCAGCCAGCTGTTCAGGAGAGTGCATTAAATCCTGCAGGTATTCTGAAATGCAACCTGAGTGTGCTGCTCTTTGTATAGATGGTAGAGTATGTGATTATAACCCTTGCTAATGGCAGTTGGAGGCCAGAAATTAGGTTTGCCCTCTAAATATTAAAAATTAAAATTCAGGAATATTTTAACCTTATATATTAAAAGCATTTTGACTTTTTAATTTAGGTTTCAAAAACTAAGTGGATCAAGTCTTTTGAAGCTTGAAATATTGGAGTTAGCTAAATTTGTAAGTCTTCTAGTTAGTAAACTTTGTGTACTTTTAAAAAACTTGTGGGTTTTTTGCAGTGGTTTATTTTTCTGCTTCAAAGCTTAAAGTATGAGTTCTCAACTAGCTACTCCTTTTACTTCAAATGTTTTGCAGTTTCCAGTAAAACAAGTGCCAGGATACAGTGTCTTAAGCATAATCTTAAAAGGAGTTTAAGGAATTGTAGTTTTAATAATTTGAATTTATTCTTTATTCTTATATGCAGAATGATATAGAGAAAATGGCTCTGTCAGCTTTCAGGATAGCTATTGATGCCCTTATAGTTTATATTAATTTGTTGGGTGTTTGTGAAGTGTGTAATGTCTTTAAATATATTAATGTATTCAGTTTATTTGTATATTTCTGGGGGATTTTGCCAGTTGCCAGGCTTTAAGTCAACAGGATCACCAGTTTTTTCCCCAGGAATGGAACATGGGTTTACTTCTACCATCAGTTTTTAAGGGCAAAAAAACTCCCACCCAACTTTTTTTTTTTTTTTTAAACCAGAACAGCATAAGTACATGAGGACTATTAACTGTTCTGTTATTGTTTCAAATGTGAGAATTTCCTTTTGTTAAATTTAAATAAAGAGTGATAACACTTTCCTGAGATAGTGACAATAAAGATCTAGGAAACATGAATGTTTATGCCAAAAAGAATACAAAATCAAGTAGAAAAGTTGCAGAATTGTGAGCCAGTTAATTCAAGAAAGGTGTACTCTTTTGAAGGGGCATTGAATACCTATAGGGAGCTCTTCCCAAGAGGTGTATTAGAGGGGGAAATGACTCAATCCAGAAAGTATGCACCATGCTTTTGGGAATCAGTGAGATCATTTGTTGTCTATGAAGTGGTTTATCCTGGAAGGACCTCTGTATAATAATCTTATTGTAAAAAGGTGAACTCAGAAGATAATTGTGCAAATTCACTGTCCACTGAGCAGTTTCTGCTAGACATGTTCTAGGTATATTTTAGTAAAACTATTGTTTATCTACAAATTTCTCATTTGCTTTTTTGTACGGAGATTGTGACACACATGATTTAATCTTAAACACATGATTCCTGTGGAGAAGAATTATGGGAGAAATAACAATATCTTTGATCAACCAGTAGGCCCCAGAATAAGTCTCATGATTGACTTACGTTACATGGTTTTGGTTAAAATAATGTTTTTGTTTCAAGAGGATGGAGCAGTTGCCTCTCCCGACATAGGAGATATGTCTCCTGAAGGACCTCAGCCTCCCATGATTCTTTTACAGCAACTTTTGACAGCTGCTACGCAACCATCACCTGTGAAAGCAATATTTGACAAACAAGAGCTTGAGGTAGAGTCTGTGTTTTCTCCTAATAAGTAACCTAATAATAAGTCTTTTTAATTCACATTCCAGTTGAAACTTGTTAAGCTATAGGTTTTAAAAAAAAAAAGTGACACCGAACCCTTTTTGGCAAATAACCTTTAATGTCAGGCACACACACTGAAAAAATATACTAAATATGCTTGTTTTACTTGGACTGATTTATTTGTTCTCGTTTAGGCTGCTGCTTTGGCAGTATGCCAGTATCTGGCTGTAGAGTCTACACATCCCTCAACTCCAGTGTTTGAAGACTGCAGCTCTAGTGAAGCTACCACACCCATCACAGTGCAACATATCCGACCCACAAAAGCAAAGAAACGCAAGCAGTCTCCAATTCCACCCCTCCCCATTGTAGTTCAGCTTATGGAAATGGGATTTCCTAGGAAGAACATAGAATTTGCACTAAAATCTCTGTCTGGAACCTCTGGAAGTGCTTCTGGATTACCAGGTATTTCATTTAGTTACATTAATGGTGTTAAAAGGAGAAGGAAATTTGCAAGCAGATTAAAATGCTACTTACAAGGGAGCAGTTGTTACTTCTCCTTTTGGATACTATCTTAAGAATGTCAGAGAATCCCTTAGAGACAGACTGAGTTTCTTTTCTGTATCAGGAGTGGAAGCCTTGGTTGGCTGGTTGTTGGATCACCCTGATGTTCAAATTACGGATCTCTCTGATGCCGATACTATTTCTGATGAATATTCAGATGAGGAAATAGCAGAGGATGTGGAAGAAGCTGAAGCTGCTTGCCCTGTGGTAAGTATCAACTTACTAAAACCTAAGTCATGCTAGCTGGCTGCGAATTTTGTGATTCTTTCCTTCTATGAATTTGGTTAGAGAATAAGGACATTCTGCTGTCCCAAGCTTTCAAGACTGTAACAAGGACCACATTTGCCATATGTTTCTAAGGCATGTCATAAAAGAACTCAAGAGTAATCTATAAATATTTATGTATAAGTAGCAGAGGAGAAGAATGGAATGCAGGTAGATGTTTCACTAGTGGTAGCTATAAGTATCCCTGATACATGGTTTCAGTTTCATCTAAAATAGTCAATGTTATAGTGTAATATTTGTAAAGGACACCTTTTTAATTTTTTTTTT